AAAACTCGTTTTGTGAAGTATCTTACAAAAAATATATAAAAATATATAGACTCTGGATACGATACACCCGGATTTCTATGGTACTATCCGCGTGAAATTCATAATTGAACTACGGTTATGTAAAAATGAAATGTCAAAACTAACGTCTGAAATGACTATGGTTAAGAAAATTTTAACCTCATAACGATGAAAAATGAATTCAGGTACTTTACAGGTTTTATTTGCAATAAGACACAATTAATTTAGCGAAGTAGTGAAAGGTGACAAAGTAAATGTATAGTTGTAGTTACTAAGGAAAGGCTATTTATGGGGTTTATCACCCATTCTAGCCATGCCTCATATCCCTCAATTTCACTTCCTGTTTCAAAAGTGCTGATTTTGGGTATAAAGCTTTAAAAAAACAATTTGCTAAAAAAAAAAAAGTAGAGGGCTGAGCTCATGCGGGAGATTCTACCGGCAGATACTGCGGTGGTGAAACGCCATATCATGGATTATCAAGGATAATTTCTGAAACATTATGGAGCTCAAAGGCTTTCTCTCTTGCGGGTTATACCACAAGGTGAGTTCCTTTTTATTTCCTGCTTCTTCACACACATGCTCTCCAGTGCCTAGTTAGTTTCAGGTCACCCTTGAAAAAGAGATCAATGATCTCAATGGGATTCACCTGCATAAATAAAGGTTTGAAATGAGGTTAGCTCTGAGTGTTAGCGATGCTAATGTAAACACAGACCATATTACGTCCAAAACAGTCTGGCATTGTTTCTAATAGGAACGTTTCTGATTGGGCCGTGGGTGTAAATATGGCCTACATTTCCGATATTACGTGATATCGAACGCAAATCTGGATCAGCTCTGTTGTAGCCCCGTTTTTAGAGATTTGGGTAAGGAGGAAAAGAGAGAGGGTTTTATTTTCTGACGCTGCGTGAGTTCCCTGACACACCGGGGACACATATTTATGTATAAAAGACATCAAAAAGTGCATTTTGCATGAAAGGTCTCCTTTAAGTATTAGTGGTAAAAGTACTCCTTATCCGTAGTGGCCCATTTCAGAATAATATATATTGAGTTAATCGGTTACTATTGAGAGGCGAAGTCCCTCCCCTCATGGGACCTTATTTCGGAAAAAAGTATTGAAGTCAATGACGAGAGAAAACGTATCTTTCAATCCCATTTGAATTGTGCCATGAATTACACATGATTTTTGTCAATCTTAAAAAATCATTTCCATGTCAAAAAGTGTGCCTTGGCAGTCTCAGTTGAAATATAAGACTATGAAAAATACGCAACTAGAAAGACTACAAATCCCAGAGTAAGTGATGTCCTGATGTCATAATTGTTTTCCTCCACTAAATATAAGAGATAGCTAAGGTAAGATAACTTTAACAAGATGCCTGTGTGCTTAGTACCAGGTTGTTATCATACCACCAACGGGTCTTGCTCGTTCTTTCGCTTCCTGTCTGATGAAAGGACCAGCAGTGCTGGATCAAGTTAGCTAACTAGCTAGTAGCAAGCAAGTTAGTTAGCATTACAGCCTTAGCCTTGTCATTTTTATTAGCCTTAACATGAAGTAACCCAAAATGTTAAACAGTAAGAGTAGTAGTCATATTTCGTGAACCCTTTGAAGAGTACTGTCACACCGGTGTGATCATTCTATAATACACCTTTTAAGCCCGGATGCTCCCTGGGGAGACATGCTAACGCTACATTAGCATCGGCGATCTTTTCTACTTCATGCTATCTGCACAAATGGTTGACATTGAACATTAAAAAGATCAGGCAGTTCAGGGAGAATCGAAGGAAGGCAGGCAGCTCTGCATGACATTCTTCTGGACGTGTTTCTTTGTGGTGATAGTGAGGGTAGTCAATCCCTTTTTTGGCAAGACAGTAGTGACGGCCATCTTGATGACGTGTGTTGTTGTGCGAGACCAGAGGTGTAGTTTATTGAGCGGTTTCACACAAAAAAAGTCTTACTTCACAGTTTTACGGCAAACATTTTTTTTAAATTATCTTTTAAATTGACAAACATCATATGTATAATTCGTGGCACAATTCAAACGGGATCGAAAGATAACTTTTCTCTCCATTGACTTCAATACATAATTTTTCTGAAATAAGGTCCCATGGAGGTCCACCGGAAAGGGAGGGACTTCGCCTCTCTATTACAGCTGGTAAATGTAGAGCTACATTTTAATAACATTATATTCAGCTTCTGGATATTGTTTTAATATTTGATATATATTTTTGTGTTTTGCGCTTATAATCTAAATCTAAAAAGTAACTATTAACTAAAAGATGTCAAATAAATGTAACAGAGTAAAAAGTACAATTTGAAGTATAAAGTAAACGTAAACGCAGAATACTCAAGTACAATTTTGAGGTACTAGGACTTTACCCAAGTACTGTAATTAAGTAAATGTACTTTGTTAATAGCCACTAGCGCAGTCGAATAATGGACGCTCCATATTTCATATTCCAGAATCCATTATCCTTTTCCCAGAATAAAGAAGTAAGGGATGTCTTGCTCACCTTGGACTTAAGAAAATCGCTGGTGGTGGAATCTATGAGGAGGGAGAGATGGGATTAGAATCATGTTATCCCTGGACACAGGGCTGGTAGGTAGTGTTGGGGGGGGGGGGGTCTAATCACAGCAGAACTCCAGACATTACAGGAGGGTTCATCTTCAGAATCAGGCAAACAAACAGTTCTCACTTCTTTGATACTGAAGGTTGCATAAATGACCAGAGTTTACCTTAAACATTAGCAAGTGGTGTGGTGGTACAGAAGTCACGGTTCAGTTAATGTCTGGGTTTAGGATAGCGGTCAGGGACAATGGGATCGTTGCATTAAAGTTAGTTTATTTTACTTTATTTTGAACCGACAGTAGTGCCAAGTGTCAGAAACAGACATAAAAGCTCTTGATCGGGGCCCAGCATTTTGGACACTGGCAATTTTGTTAAACTTTTTTCTTCATAAAAAGCAACTTTTTAAAACAGTTCTGTGTTCTACTGCACGAACAAACAGTTTCCCAAAAGAGGACTTGGCTTAATGAGCCATCAAACTTTAAAGCATCTCTTATGCTACGTGATGGCTTCAAAAGTGTTTCCACTTTTTCTCCTACAACGATGTAACTCAGAGACCCCGTCCTCTCCTACACAACCCTCCCCCTCCCTGTCACAGCTGAGCAGGACACCAGCACTGCCGCTTCATGGTGTTACCATGGTGAGTCGGACATGCATATTAGCTTGTGGTGCTTGTGAGCTTTGTGCATCATGTGCATCAATCTACACACTGTGTGTTTTTCATGCACGGGGACCCCTGTACTGTGTCAGCAAGACATGGGCATGACGCTTCAACGGTGGGAAAGTCAGACAGGAGGAAAGAAAAGGAATCCAAGTGCAATAGAAACACCAAACACACAAGAGGAAGACCCGGTCCTACCGAAGAGGCTGATCCAGTGTCTCAGCTACAGAAGAAGAGGGCAGAAAGTCCGGAGAAAAAGAGAGAAAGTTAAAAAGAGTATGAAAGATCATGAGTATACACAGCCAGAGAAATAACTGGAGAGTAAAGAGAGCTACTGGAAAATAAAGAAAGTGAGACCGACTAGTACATTAGGAGTAGAAAATAGAGAAGCAATTAAACATTCAAGTTGAATTGGCATTAGTCATGTAAGGCTTTATCTTTGGTCAACACCAGCAGATAGCAGAAGACCCAGATCAGGGGTCAGTTTAAATGAAACAGATCATTTCACGAAGCAATTGGCCATATTGCGTGAGGGGAGAGACAGGCTTTGGATTTCTCTTTCAAATCCTTTTTGAACTTATTTTATTTTGTGAGTGACATTTCACAGAAGGCTTTCCAAAAGTTTGTTGGAGTAAAAGTATGTCGAATAGTGACATATATAATATTTATGCGTATACATTTCTTGATGTAGAAACTATGAGAGCCACATGGGGTTTATAAAGGACGCCACCTGGGACAAAGTGCCCTCTCTTTTCTTTTGTACAGTCCAAACTTGGCACCTTTATCATAATTTCAACTGAGCTGAGTTTTAGTGAAGCAGATATGTGTGATCCTCTCGTAGTAAACATGCGTCTCTCATGCCACGCATTAAATCACAGTCCTCACCTGAGGCCTCCCCCGGCATGCCTGGCCTGCCGATGTTGGACAGCAGATGGTCGATGTTGGGAACAGGTTGCATGTTCCGCTCGTCCTGCGGGGTACGCGCACACACACACACACACACACACACACACACACACACACACACACACACACACACACACACACACACACACACACAGAAAGGAAAATAATACCCAAAATAGGCGTACAAATGATGACGAACACCCCCTGTCTTTATGACATCACTCTGTGGGCTAACATACCTTCTCTTCCTTATCGAGCTCTCCGTCAGTGAAGAACCAGTCATGCTGTTGGAGCAACACAGCATTAATGATAACACAAACACAGCACAATGAGTGGTGCAGTATTTCTGCATTAGAAGGCAGCTTCTAAATCTTACGTGCAAGATGAGTGTCTCTACTATTTTGTAGCGGTCAGGCATGTGGATGACCATGTCCGTCATGTTGTCCTCTGACGTCCTAACCAGAGTGGGACCGAACACCAGGGCTAGGTTCCTGGGCTCCATCTGGAAATCATCTCCAAGTTAAGATCATGTCTGTCTTAAAGAATGATCGTGTTCCCTTAGAGGCGGAGAGGTTACCTTGTTCTTGTCAGCATTATCTGCCACCTTCTTCAGGTGACCCACCAGGAACTTCAGGGTGTGGTAATAGTAATCTGGGAGGTCATGGAGCTGCAGACGGAAGGATGGATGAATATAGAAATACAAATATTTATAGGCATGATCAATCCAAGATGGTCGCAGCGTGAGTAAGCGCATCTCAAGCTTGTCTGTTTGTCGCTGTTAAATTAGCTCTTAAAAGCTCATATCATTGATCCACATGATCTGAACCCATGAACATTTGATTAACATAGTAAAGCGGCTCACTACGGTTATTGTATTTTTTGCATTTGCAACTATGGAGGGAAACATATCTCTGCAAACTTTGTGGGACGCGATTC